ATTCCCCATCACACAAATTATCTCAATATATTGCATCTATATTAAAAAGCATAACTAAAGACTCCGTCTACAATATCAAAGATGCTATTGCTTTTAAAGAAAAAATTAACAATTCACATATTTTTGACGATGAAAGATTAGTTTCCTTTGATGTAATCTCATTATTTCCGAGCATCCCAGTAGACTATGCATTAAAAATCATTGATAGTAAGTGGTCTCTTATCAAAAATGAATGCAATATAAAGAAAGAAACATTTATGGAGATTTTAGGCTTCCTCCTTAAAGAAAATAGCTACTTCATATTCGAGAACAAAATTTACAATCAAACAAAAGGGATGCCAATGGGTTCTCCGATATCACCTGTAGTAGCAGATATTGTGATGGAGAATATTTTAGACAAAATGATGGACGAAGTAGTTATAAAACCTAGACTACTTACCAAATACGTAGACGATATATTTGCTATTATAAAAATTGACAACATAGAGAGTACATTACATACACTAAATAATTTACATAGATATATAAAGTTCACCAAAGAAGAAGAAGAATCCGAAAAACTTGCCTATCTTGACGCTATAGTTATAAGACGTAACAATAAAATCAAAATTAATTGGTATCAAAAACCCACGAATACTGGACGATATATTAATTACAACTCTCAACACCCTCATCATATAATTCGGAACACAGCACTGAATTTGATTCGACGTGTAATGAATATCAGCGATCCAATTTTTCATAAAGAAAATGAAAAAATTCTTATTGACATCTTGCTTAAAAATGACTACCCCAAACGGACGATATATTCTCTTCTAAAACAAGTGAATATAGTGCGTAAGAAAATATCCGATCCCCAACCAAAAATTTATCTCCCTATGACGTATATCCCTGGGTTTTCGGAAAACTTTAGCAAATCTAAATGCTATAATGACGACACGCACACTTTGGCTTTCAAAGCGAGAAACACGCTAAAAAATCGCTTTTTTAATAAAACAAAAAGTCCAATAGACAAATTAGATGAGCATGATGTCGTATACAAAATTCCATGTGGAGGTGACGGGTCTAACGTATGCCACCAGGTATATGTTGGTACAACAAAAAATAAACTCAGGACGAGAATCGCTGGCCACAGACACGACATAAAGAGCAGAACAACTCCCGTTGACCAAAAGACAGCATTAGCAACCCATTGCTCTATGATGAACCATACTCCAAATTTTGAAGAAGTACAGATCATCAACAAAGACCCTAATTACAGACGTAGGTTAATGCTTGAAATGTTACATATTATTGAAGTTCCAGACAATCAGAGACTAAACTACAAAAAAGACACAGAGGGTCTTGCACAAATTTACAGGTCTCTGATTAACCATAATTAAAATAAAAAAAAAAATTTAATATAAATTTATAGTTTTATATAAAAAGTTTAATTTATCTTCCATTGTTACCAATTAAAAAATATTTTCGTATATTTATTTTTGATTTTAATTTTAAATTTTATTGTTTTTTTTTAAATTAACGTTTTGCTTTTGTTCAAATAAATTTAAATGTTAAAAAATGTCAAACATTGAAAGAGACAACAATGTTTGTCATTTTTGGTTTTTTGTTTTGATTGTATGTTTATATGTTTATTTACATATAATTAAATATGTAATCTTTTATATACACTGAAGATGGTCTACGATGTAGACCGAAATATTTGTATTAATATAATTTTTGTATAAAAATTAAATAAATTTAAACATTTAACACAGTTGGAAAAAAGTGTAAAAATTTTTTAATTTTTTTAAAAAAACATTTTTATAAACCTATGTGTTAAATAAACGACATTTTCATTATTATTAAAAAACAATTGCGTTTTTAAATCGATTGTTTTGTTTAATATTTTACACAAAAATAATTGTTTTATTTGCTTTGCTTTTAACACAGTTTCACCGTTTTGATCATCAATATACGCGTTATTTTTATCGAATGTCACTTTATAACCATTGTTTGCTGCATTGCTTACAGAAACAAAATCACATTGCAATACCGGAACATACAACACATTTTTTAATATAAGTACACCCATGTGACTCTTTATTCTCACGTTACCACGTCCTATAGCTTTGAAAAATTTATTACCTGCAAGCATTATTTTTTCACTGCACTGCTCAAAATCTTCAAACATTTCACGATGCGCGCACAAATGAGAAGTTGCGCCACTATCCAAGGACCAAGCTTTTTTATCAAGTACCGTGTTTTGATTAACAAAAACAGAAAAAAAAGATTTTGAATACTCTCCGGGATTTTTTAAGTTCTCTTAACAGAAGTTTCTCTTGATCTGCAGCCAAATGGCCTTTCTTCCCACATTTGTAACATTTAAAGTTACTCTTTTTTCTAATTTTTTTATCTCCTTTACCTCCGCTATATCTTTTGGTGTGCTCGTTGTTGGAATATTTATGGCCTGATTTAGCAACTAATGCTTGTACAATACCATCTGGTTCGATTGTTTCGTTATGTTACTGCGCTCACTTTCCTCAAATAATTTTGTTTTTAAAGCACTAAGCTTTGGGAGCTGATCTCTTGTTTCTAACGCAACAACAAAGTTTTCATAACTTTTTGATAAATTTGCTTAAATTATTATTACAAGCAACTCTTCTTGCAATTCAAGGCCAATTTCTTGTTCAATGACCTTTTCGAAGCTCGCAATATACTGCTGCATAGAATCACCCTCACTCATGCGCATATATAGCATTTTCTTAATAAAAATCGAATTCATATTGGTTGAGTTATGCTGGGCCCATAACCTGTTGGATTCTTAAATATAGAACACAGCTTTTAAATAAAAACGCGTTGTCTTCTTCTCGAGTGTATTATAAAACCGTCGATCTTTATTAAATTAAAATATGAGAGTAAATAAAAGCTTATTAAAACTTGACAAAAATATTTATATATGTGTAGTGTTATTAACATTGTCAAAGGCTTTAACTTCAAAAATTTCCGTTTTATCATACTGCCAACCGAACTCAGTGACAAGCTCATTTGAGAATTCTTTCCAAATGCCATGCAGTCTTGGTGACGCATTCACCCAGAGGTGTGCTGCACCCTTTAAACGGCTTTACACTGCAAGAAGTACACCTTTTCCGGAACACGCATATACATACATAACCGCTTCAACACGTTCGCCAAATTGTGCAGCCGTAATAGAATCTTCATTCGTTGGGTCGAATTTAGGCAAGATTTCCGCGATTTCTCGTATAGAATGCACGTTACGGTCCGTACTGGGCTTATCTGAAGTACTGTTTCGAAGTCTTTCCGGTACATTTGGAACAAAATTAAGTTTATTGATGCCACTGGCGTTTGCATATAGTCTACTTGTAATAGCTTCTTGTTGAACCATTTGCCGCAGTTCGCTAATTTGTTTACACAGTTCCACGTTTTCACCTCGCAATTCCTCATTAGAGTGTTGTAGCGCTTCATAATCGGTTGTAAACTGCAAGACTATGCCGCTTGTCTTCACGTGCTCCGTTAGTCGTTCAACCAATTCTGCTTTGATGCCAGTAGTGGACAGCTCTTGTTGTTGCAAGAAATACTTCAACTGCTCCTTTGTAAGTGAGTCAATTGTTACTGTCGTTGCGTATTTGTCTGCGTTCGTTTTTATTGTCCTACACTAAAAACTCACATTCTTAGTTTTAGTTACTCTTCTTTGAAGGCATATATTCAATCCCACTTCAGAACTTTTAATTTAATCTTTATTTACATAACTTTTAATTTAATATAATTTTATTTAATTGAAAAATATATTCAAGAACCACGTTATGCAACTGACGCCATCCATCGTATTCTTTTTAATCCCATTCTCTTGCTTTTCTGACATTCGCTGTCACCCATATCGTGGGTGACCACATGTTATTTATATTTTAAAGGTGACCAGGTATGCGTTTTTATTGTTGGTTTGCACTTGTTAAAATGTTCTATTTTATCTTATTCGGGTTTCTAAAGGGAATGGTATGATTTGGTTTAATGTTTAGGTTGAAGAGAATCAAACTATGATCCGAAAAGGATTACTTGTCAGATATCTTTCAATTACTAACTACGATATTTAGATTTTCGAATAGAAGTGTTATATCTAGCACTCTTCCCATCCATCAAACCCCTGTAAACTGGGAAAAGTAAATATAGGAATTTTACCTCTATTACAAATTAAAAGATTGGAATTGTTAATAAAATCAAGAAGGTACTCACCCCTGTCTTTGGTTTCCGAACTGCCCCAAAGCGGTTGCCTTGCATATGCGTCGTATCCAATTAGCGTTAGAATATCTTTTGATGAATTTTTGTGTAGTAGCGCGACTACCTCTTCCGGAAAAGCATCTCTATCATGAGCCATGTAGGCAAAAGCCACAATTAAATTTTATTCATCTAGCATTTCGATCCATACGGCTGTCAGATTCTTATAGCTACACTGTCGGTATAGAAAGGCATTAATATATTTTTTAACTAGGATACATGATCCTGGCTTACCACTGTTGCTAATATACAGGTTATTATAGTTCTTCAGGAGGAGATTTTCGAGTGTTAAAGACTGATTTGTGCTACTTTCAGCATTTAAGTAAGTTTACGAAGTCTCTGAAGCTTCTTCCTTAAGCTTTATGTCGTCAAGCAATTTGTTAGCATTCTTTAACTGCTTGCCTTCATCATCATTACCTGTTGGTCGAAAGATCATGATTTTCTTATACCGTACGCCAAAGTTTAGCTTATAGTCCACACGGACAGACTTCACGGATTCTTCGTTTATACCAGAAGAAGCGTCATGTTATAGTTTTGGGTGCCCTCGTCCTTGATGACTACCCAGTCATTCATATGCACGTTTTGGTTTTGTCATTTCAGCAATTAGAGTATTTTCACGTGCTCCATTATCATATTGGCAGCCAAATGCGCGACTTTGTCTTCTTGGGATTTCATTGGCTGGGATAAACTTAACTCTTAACTCTTCCCATACATTACTTATCTTAGCAATGCAGTTGCCAAAAAAGATCTTGGATAGTGAGACATCGCATTTAAAGACCCTGCATCCACAAACCACTTCCGATGAGTCAAAGCCTGGTGTATGGCGTCTTGATTTGTTAAAAGGTTGCCATCAACATTTCAGCTAACTTGGGCTCAATCTCCCCCCTTTTTCCAGCACCTTTTTCCCTAGTTTGGCACCTAGTTCCGTGTTTGTTTTTTGAATATTATTTTTTTTTAAAATGTGTCCATATATGTTTCCACAAGTGTAGGAGTGTAGAAGGTGATCCGAAGAATAGCCCCTTTTACTTCGGAGAGGCTAATTAAAACCGAGGGTCTCTAGGTATCCGGAGTCCACCTTTCTAAGACACACTCACGCAGTGCTATTTATCCTTGAGCAGGGTCGTTTATGCACCCAAAATGGCGGGTTTAATCAGGTATTTCTCTTTAGATCCGCCATAACATGTGGCTCTGCACCACGCATGGACGATTTTGATTCATCATGAACCCTGGTCCCCAGACACCTAGTGAACCTTCACACTTACATTCACTCTAAAACATACTATACGGTTCCCGATGACATTTTTAGTGATAAACGATTTAAATTTGGAATTTTTGATGCTGATAGTTATAATTGATAATAAACGCACAATTATGTGTAGATGGTGTTATTTAGACTAACAATAACTGTTGATTTTAAAATCCACACTTTATGGTTTAAAAGTTCAAAACTTTATTCGATTTATCCGCTACCTCTATCAGCCCCATGAATGTAAATAATTTACTCCAAAAACTTCAATGCAATTACGAAACTTCAATGCAAATGTATAAGAATATGAAATGTATCCGGATGACTCAATTCAACATACAAGGTTTACACAGTGTTTGTTCGTCACTTAGTTATAGCGCTTATTCCTTGGAACTAAAACTCGAAGGCTGACCCTCACAAACGATAAAAGGGCTATAATTTACGGATATGCACCTGGAATATCCGGACCACTTATAGGGAAGGTACCTCTATCAAACTGGTGGAAGCCTATTAAGGTATTACCACCAATCAGGAAATGCGATGAACAGGATGCTCTAAAAGAGAAGCTGTAATGTCTACTACAGCTGACATGCAAATAGCTAGGGCCTTGTTATGCAGAGTTTCTCGGCCACGGCAAAATTGGCTCTTTCGGGCTATGATTAATTTGCATGTTATGTAGACTGTCACATCAATATTGCCAATTTCGTACTTTTACTATATTTTAATACTTTTTGGATGTGCCAAAATTTAAAGGAAATGTAGATATGCTTACTTTCAATTTGCCACCAAAAATAACCAGCAAGAAAAAATTAATAGAGGCAATAAAAATGTTAAGTTATTATTATATTTTCTTATAATAATTGTTATAAGAACTTACAAAATTATACGCTTTTCCTTAAAATCGAAAAGTGAGAAAATTAGATTATTAGCAGTTTATAAAATAGGATGTATTGCTTACTGCCATATTACCTTCAAAACGTATTAAAGTTGTAGAAATTTGCTCCTAAAAGGTGGAAATTCTGACACCTTAAAATAGATATGTATCTAATTTCAAAAATATGAATTCTAAAAATATGTATATACGGCGTTTACACTTTGCTGGAATGTCGATTTGCCATATAAAAATAGGCACAATAATCTTCGAATTTTGACCGAAAGTTGACTACATTTAATACCTTTTCCTGAATACAGTGCTGAATTTGATGCGTTATCGAAAAGTTAAGCAGTGATGTGGAAGTCGGTCATGCAGTTATATATTATAGTCAAGCAGTAGCAGTGGTTAAGTTAAGCAGTCAAGTAGAAGTCAAGAAAGTTTTATAGTCAAGCAGTAGTGGTAGTAGTAGTTAAATCAGCAGACGGCAGTTAAAGAGTACGGTCGTGAATATTAAATTCTATACTTGTAATTATTAACCTTTTATAAAGTCTTTTAAATTGAGTATATTAAATTCTATACTTCTAATCATTAACCTTAATAAAGTTTTTAAAATTGTATATATTTATATTAATTGGAGCTTGTCTTTTACATATATATATATATATAATCTAATTCAATTTGCAGGAATAATAACAAACAGCGCAATTCTCCGTGAACAGTGGAAGAGTAATATGTGCAATTGAAGTTGTGGTCGACTAATGTTTCGAAACTCGAAGGACCAAAAAGAAATTCGCATATTGTAACGACACTCAGTCGCGGTCCGAGTCATTGCAATAAATTTGTTTTATTGACCAGTTCGAAAGCTAGTAAAAGGCCAAGGTGAAAGTAAAAACGTTGTTTATTTTATTTCAAAAATGAATTTATTATAAAATTTATAATACTACGTAAAAAAAAAAGAATTCTAGCCTATGTGGTTATAGTTCTAAGCGGTTACAATAGGTTGTAGCCAATGGCATGAAAATGCCGACGGCGTTATATTCTATGATACAAAAATTCTACCCTATGGCATCAAAATGCCTTGCGGCGTTATAAACTATAATAATAAAATGATTCTAGCGTATGATATCAAAATGCCGTGCGGCGGTATAACTATAATAATGTAATGATTCTAGCCTGTGGCATCAAAATGCCGTGCGGCGTTATAAACTGCTAGTCTATAAATTTAACTAGCCTATAGTATTAGAATACTACTGGCGTGAAATTTCCCTAGCTACTTACCGATGATGTGGGTGTCTACTTACTTCGGTGTGCTGGCGCTAAGTGATATTTTTTGTAAAATTGTCGTCTATTTATATAAAATCACCCTTACTTTAGTAGTTGTACGCACAACCGCACAAGTGTAATTTTTCATGCGTACACAATTAATGCATTTCTTTGCGGAGTAACGGCATTGCCGTGAGTTTAGATTGTCTTGTGCTGGTTGGTCGTGTGATTGTGGGTGTTCGTTGCTACGTTGAAAAACTGGTTTGTTCTATTCATGAAAGGTGGTGATTTTTAATATTTATATTTTCTGTTTTAATAAAAATTAATATTAACTACTAAATAAAGAAAATATATAAATAGTAATTAAGTTAGTTATGTTACACTAATTCGTCGAATGGTTTCGTGTTCGTTTTCTTGAATTTCTAAAAACTTTGATAAATTCGTCTTAGTGTGTACTGATGTGATCATAATCCTTCTGCTGAATTGTGCTTCGGTCTTTCACAGGTCGCTACCAATTTCGTGTGTTGGGTGAATCCTGTGCTTCGAGACAACTTTCTCTTACCATACTTGAATCAGTGGCTTGATTACTTCTTCCTTCGGTTGAGCAAAGTTCAATTTTCCTTGCGGTGATAGTTGTTCCTGTTGACTGTCGTGGTTTATTGAAACTTGTTGTGCTTGTCTCTCTCGACTTTAAAGTTGTAACTGTGTGATGGGTTTTGATGTTTTATAAATAAATGTTTTATAAATTAAACTATTTTGTTTGTTGCAGTTCATTCATCAATGTTAAAATCGGACGGAAAGCTTTGTTCATCATCTTCAATCAATAGTGGATCGATTTCCATCCTCGTTTTATCATCGTCTAAAGAACCATCTGAAGATTCGTGTGCAGAAACTCCTAGGAAAAAGAAAACAAAAAATTGTGCGTTAAATCACTTAACGGTGCAACTACATCAATGCAATAAAATCGAAAAGCAAATGCTCAAACAATGGGAAAGACCTATCCATTTACAAATAGAAAAAGTTCATATAAAGAAGCAACTCTTAGAAATCCAAAAAAAGTGAATAATTTTAAATGTTTTATATATACTTGTAGGTTTAAGTGTATAATATGTGTAAATAATGTAATATTTACACTATAACTATATATAAATAATAACTATTTATGAATAATATTTTATATATAGTTGTAGTTATAAGTGTGTTTAATAAAAAAAAGGTAAAGTCAAAAAATAAAAATTATCTAAAGAATTAGCTATTGGTCTTGTAACGACATTTTCCGGCCCAATCTATAACTGGGGTATACTCAGCGAGTATACCAGGGTTCGTTATAAGAATTTTATATAAGGGAAATAATAGAGACACTTCTGTTTATAGGAGGGTTTATTATTTAACAACAAAAAAAGAAAGCAAAAAAAAACATACATTAAAGTTGTGAGAAGCATTAGACTCACGAGCGTAAGCGTTATAATTGTTGTAAATGTTGAAGTTGTTGTAATTGTTGAAAATTGATTGTTGTAGGTAATGCGCGTGTTGCAATAGCTGGAAGCGTTGAGATATAAAAGTTGTGGGAAGCAATAGACTCACGAGCGTAAGCGTTGTAACTTGAAATGAAAGAAATTCCAAATAGAACGGTTGCTTCGCTGCCCTCTTATTTAAAATTCCTTCCATTACAGGCAAAAACAAAAATTATTTTCACATAAACAAGGTCCCGTAAATTCGTCAAAACAAATTTCTTATTGTTGTACGCATTGCAATCAAATTCAATAAAAATAACTGCATCACATAAAAAATGCGTGCACAATATTTTTCTTAAATTTGTTTAAATTTGTTAGTTACAACAAATCTAACTAGTTTTTATTAACGGCAAAAAACTAATCAAAACTTATTTTAATTTACAGGGTCATTTGTTTATATAAAAAAAATGTTTGTCTTTAATATGCAATTTACAGGGTCATTCGTTTATAATTGTTACTACAGAAAAATTTTATTGCAATTAGAAATATTTTTTTTTTATTTACTACGTGGATTTAAAACTCATTATATGTAACTATTAATTTAATTTGTGAGCCTATATTTTAATGTAAAATTTTGGGCCTTACAGTCTTCTTATTTCTTCCTCTTAGATACTGCGGTGCCATTACTCTCCATACCTTTGAACAAAACTCTTTTAGAATGACACAAACGCTTGCTTTACATACACCAAACAGCCCTCCAATTGTGCTGTACTCAGCAGACCAACGTAAGGCATACAGTGCAATCGCGACCCGCTTCTTCAGTGGTATGCACTGTCTAAAGCAGGTGGTACTTCGGTCAATACCTCTAACGCTGTTGCATATGATATTGAAGTATTGGCGATTCATACGGAAGCTTTCCTTGAAAAAATTTGCACTATTACTTGGAACATTAAGTGCGTATCTTTCCTGTAAAAATATTTCATAGTTATATCAACATATTCATAAA